AGCTTAGTTTTGTTGGATATAAGATTCTTGGTTGCCATCCATTTTCTTTCAGGCTTGGTATATATTGTTCCATGATCTCCTGGCTTTGAGGGTCTGGGTTGAAAAATCTGCTGAGATACGAATTGGTCTCCCCCTATATGTAATCTGATTCTTCTCTCTTGCGGCTTTTAAGATTCTATCTTTATTCTGTATGCTAGGCATTTTCATTATAATGTGCCTTGGTGTAGATCTGTTGTACATTTGGTGTCCTGTAAGTCTCATGTATTTGGTTTTCCAATTCATTCTTCATGCTTGGGAATTTTTTTTAATATTATCTCATTGACGAGATTGTGAATTCCTTTGGTTTGAAACTCTGTGCCTTCCTCTATCCCAATAACTCAGATTTGGTCTTTTGATGATGTTTCATAATTCTTGGATGTTTTGTTCATTGTTTCTTACCATCTTCACTGTGTGATCAACTTTATTTTCCAGATTGTATACTTTGTCTTCATTATCTGACATTCTTTCTTCCAAGTGATCTAGTCTGTTGGTTATGCTTTCTATTGAGTTTTTTGTTTGATTTATTGTATCCTTCATTTCAAGGATTTCTGACTGTTTTTTTTTTTCCCAGAATGTCTCTCTGGAAGTAATCTTTTGTTACCTGTATTTGCTCTTATCTCTTTGTTGGAGTGAAGAAGTTTTGTCTGTATTTGCTCATTTAGGTCATTCTTTAATTCACAGATCATTTTAACTATGAACCTTCCGAACTTCTTCTCTGACATTTCATCAACTTCTCTGTCCATGGGATGTGTTGTTATAGTATTCTGGTTTGTTTGGGGCACTTTCCTCCCTTGCTTTTTCATGTTGTCTATGAGTCTCCTTTCTTGCAGTGTGGATCTGAGATATTACAGTTTCTTCCTATATTCTTGTAATATCTGTGCAGACTGTCTATACCTCACCTTGATGTTAGGCTTCCAGACCCTACTGGTGTCCCTCAATGTATGCTACTGCATTTGCATCTAAAGGAGGTGGCAGCAATAGCCAAGGTAACTCCAGATAATAGTTAAGGTGCCCCTAAGATGGAAGCAATGTCTTACAGAGATGGGGCTGAAAGGGTGGGCCTCATCCTCTCTTTGGGATGCCTGCTCTGAGATGCAGCTGCTTCTAGACCCTGTCTGCTGTCAAAGTTTGGGCCTACTATGTGGGGAAGGCTATGGCGATGACTGCAGTATCCCAAGATGGAAGTGGGTTAGGCTTGGGCTCCCAGGTGGGGGGTGAGAAGAGGATGAACTCAAACCTACCCTGGACCTGGGTCCTACGCGCAAGTTGGTGTGGATGGATCTGGGCCAGGCCTGGGCTTCTGCAGTAGTCTGCTGGTTGGAAGAGGCTGTCCTGTGCAGGAAGCTGGGCTCTAGCGGGTGTCTGCCCCAAGGGTTGAGGGGTGGACCTGGGCCTACTGTGAGTCTGGATCTGTGGGTCTGGTGTGGGTGGTCTGAGCTGGGCTTGGGTTCCGCGGGTAGTCTGCTGGTCAGAAGGAATGGTCCTGTGCCAGAGGCTAGGCCCTGGGATGTCTTTCTCCCGGATAGAGGGGTGGACCTGAGCCTACTGTGAGCCTGGGCCCCACACAGGCCGGTTTGGGTGGATCTGGGCCACAGGGCTCAACCTCCCCCCGTAGTCCACTGGTCGGAAGGGATAGTCCTGTGCCAGAGGCTAGGCTCTAGCTGTTGCCTGCCCCACTGGTGGAGGGGTGGTCTTCCCACCTACTGTGAGCCTGGGTCCCGCGGGGGCTGGTGTGGGCCGCATCCCAGCACTGTTTCTTAATAGTTTTTTGCCTTCATCATTCTTTTCTACCAAACACAGTACCCCACACTTATTGTGTGTCAGTAAATAGAGGTTGTCATGTTAGTAATAATGCCAGCATCATCTTTAGGTCATTTTTAGTCTAGTTACATGAAACATAAGAGACAAAAATAAAATTTAAAGAATTTATTTGAGCAAAGAATGATTCATGAATCAGGAAGTACCCAAATCGAAAGGACATGTGGGTTTCACAATAGCAGTCTGAGCATAGAACAAAACACAGAAACAAATTTTTTAAAAACTACTTTATTTGCTATAGCTAAGTGTTGGGTATGGTTGGAAAGGAGGGCCCACATTATAGAATGAATCAGCTAGTTAGCTGTCTGTTATTGGCTGAAGTTCAATTCAAATTTAATCAGTTACAAGGAATGCCTCTAACCTGTTTCAGTTTGCTTATGTAAGGGTCCATGAGCCTTCCAGGTGAAGCAATGACTTCAGTCTAACAGCTTCCTACTTATTTTGCTTCAGCAGGCCCTGTAATGTTATATGGAGTGGCAAGGTTACATTACATCTATATCTCTGGTTATTTAAACATGAAATTAACATCAGAGTCATTCAGTTCAACAAACAGTTATTAAGACTTATCTATTTGGGCTCCATGTTGTACCTGTGTAGGCCAAGGAAGAAAAAAAAATCACTGGAAACTCAGTTCTTGCCCTGAAAGAGGTCATAATTGGGTGAGGTGGTTCGAGGAGGGTGTTGACTAATAAGACCCAACCCCTGAAAAATTTTCTCCCAGTTATACATTATATGGCCTTATTCTCTGCTTTGTGTTGTATAGATAGTTAAAAAGAAAGAGAGAGATTAGTGGAAAGAAAATTCAGTGTAGGTTATAGCCATTCCAGGCAGCTTGTGAGGTGAAACTTGAGTTTGGACCTTAAAAAATTGACTAAGATTTGGAAATGGAGTTAAGAGAAAATTTTCAGGGGGAGAAGTAGTGTGAGCCATGGCTCATAGGTAAGACCAATCTTTGGAGTATTTAGCAAACAATGAGACATCATAGGTTAGCTCAAAGTGTTTATGTTGGGGAGCACTGGGAGATCATATTAAATATATAGTGTGAAGTCATGTGGAGAGTTACAAATGCCAGGATGAAGGATTTGTAAAACAATAATATGGAGCCTTTGAAGATTTCTGAATAAAGATGTAATTGATGCCTCACAAAAGGCTGAGGCTCAGAGAAACAAGAAGTCAGGATCTAACAAATATATAAGTAAAAAAGGATAAAGGCAAGTAATATGAGGAACTAACATGAACCCTGGATAGCAAGAAAGTCTTATAAGTAACAACATGTATGCCTGAACAGGAACCCCCTTAGAGTCTTTCTTTGGGGAGAGAAATTATTTCCAGCCTTGTACTGACATCTGAATAAACCTTCTAATGGAGATTGGGTTAACCCAAATGAATAGTCAGAGATTTGGAGAAACCCTGATATGATCAAAATGGAGTTTCAGAAAAATGAACTTGTTGTTATTATGATGAACGGATTAGTACAGGGTGAAGCCAGCTGTAGAGGGCCCTTGTAAAATAATTTCAACAAATAAGAAGTGAACTGATAGGGACTTAGACAAAGATTAGAATTGTATTCCTTGAGAGAAATCAATAAATATGAAGAATGACAGAGAGAGAGAGAGAGAGAGAGAGAGAGAGAGAGAAAGAAACATAGAAGTGAAAGGTAGCTCTGAGATTTCAAACCTAGTTACAGAAGGCAAAAGTGGTGCCACAGACTGAGTTGGAAAAGCAAATTGTATGTGAATACAATTTGCTGATTTTCTTCATTCAACCCAATAGAGCTCAATTGGAAACAACATTCACCTCATATGGCCTGTGCTCACCATAGTGAATAATTTGGAATGATGCTAAATCTCATGGAGAGTTTGAAGTGAAGTGTCCACTCCACCCCCTGCTTTGGCTTTTGGTTTTGAGTAGCTTGATTATCAATACTTTGGACACTTCCTAATGTTTAAATAATAGTAGAAACATGTTGAAATGTTGGCAGATAAAATTTTGGGTTTTAGATGGACAATCAGTGTTTTGAAATGAGATCAGAATTTTAGTATGCAAGAAGGCTACATGTAAGTAATGTCTTTGGTGAGATATTTTGTCCAAATTAGAACGTTCTTAGTATTCAGATTTTATTTTCCAATATGGTTGTGTCACTGAGGTAAAATAGGTTTTAAAACTTACTGGTTTTAAAAATTATTGCAATGCTTAGTTTGAAAAAAAAAGTCAAATGAGAAGTTTAATAATAAGAACCATTTAACAACTACTATGTGTCAGAAATTATGTTGCTTTATCTGAATTTTTTATTTAATTAACAAATAATCCTAGGAGGTATGTACTTACTTTTATTTTCTTCATTTTCCAATGAAGTAACTGTGACCACAGAGGTTAAGTAAATCACCTAGGATTAATCAAAGTAAGTTAGGGTAGAGCCAGGTTCAGACGTAACATCTAGTATGATTTTGAAGTCCTTATTCTTAGCTGCCATCCTCTGTCTATCTCTTCTGGCTTCAGTGATCAAACAGGGTGATCGTGAATTTTACTAAATCTTTCAGCACTCCACCCATAAAAGATATGATTTCTGTCATGTGTGAAGAAACAACGTTTCATTTATAAAATATGCCACTGAATGTTCAGCAACCTATGTTCTCACACTTCTGGCAATGGATATTTTTACTTGCTGAACTGGGCACAGTGCAATAAAAACTTAAATTTCTAGGAGCTTTATATAAACATATTACAAAGGATTTTGTTGTTGTTGTTGTTCTTGTTCTTGTTCTTGTTTTTTTTTTTTTTTTTTTTTTTTGCCTTGATAATTTTCTTAAGACCAAGATCCTCCATGAACATCCTAAACCTAGGATGGGGATAAGAAAAATTATTTTACAAATGTTTTAGGAAAAATACAGATATCAGCAAAAACAAAACTGAGAATTCAAATGCTGTTAAAAACAATGACAAAGTATACCTTTGAAAAGATCTGTATATTAAATAAAATTTAAAAATAAATAAATAGTATCTGTATTTACATATAAATGGTACTTTGCAAGCATCTATTTCTAAATTTATGTTTCTGTGACAGACAAAATGCATGCTAAAGAACTTATATTTTTGTTCACCTGTGAAACTAATGGAAAATTGTTTGTTTGTTCTTCTCACAGCTGAATTTTTATTCCTCTTGTGGGGTGTTTATCTCTGCTATGCAGTGCGGACAGTCCCATCAGCATTTCATGAGCCACGCTATATGGCTGTTGCCGTTCACAATGAGCTCATTATCTCTGCTATATTCCATACAATTAGGCAAGTGATCTGTAGAGCTAGTAAATGACTTATTTTTCTGATATGTTGCAGTTTAATTTAAATAGAAAAATTGGATAAAATGAATAATGGAAAGATTTAGGAAGGGTGGTGTTTTATAAGTTGACTAATTTGTTCCTGTAATGGCAAATGAATAGTTTTGTTTTTACTCTATTCCTTCTGATATTGCTTTTTTCCCTTTGTTTATTTTGAAGGTTAACTCAATGATATTGCATTATGTTAAACCACTATAGAATATTGTGTATATATGATATTATTTGTTATGAACATATAAAGCAATGAACATATAATTATAAAGCAGATATCGATAACCCAACTGTTTTTATTCATATTTCATATAATGGTTTATATTCTCAAAATCCTAACAATCAAATAGACAATTTATGTGTGAATTCTACTGAATTCAAAACAAATGAAAAAAATTGTCTATCCTCTGGGTTATTGTATGCAATTGGGGTTCTGTCATAATCACATTTTAGCCATGACTTTCTTGGGTAAAAGTGTATACTTCAGGGCTCTTCTCTGTGTTATGCATTCTCTATAGCAGATGAATATGAAGAAAGGTGAAAATGGCATATAATGAAGTGAGCAAAATGACTTATCTTCTGAGAATTTTCCCTTGCTTGATGTTTGAAAATGAAATGAAAATCTGAGGATGGAACAACAACAAAAGAATCCTGTTATTTGAAAAGCAACAAAAAAATGTCATTCAGATGAATGCCTGACAGATATTGAAAGCAAGGATACACTTAAGAAAATTATTAGTAACTTTGAATGTCTTGGCCCTCAGTGGAAAGAGAAAATCCCTTTTCTTTGGTTTCATCTCCTTTGATGGAATTCAGATGTCCCTAGAAATCAGTGAGAATGGGAATCAGGTTGGGGGCAGGAGACTGTGGACTTGTGCGCATTTCCCAGTATGCTTATTTATCACTTTAGTCAGAAAAATACTAACTAGCACCTGTAGGGATGCATGATGCCAGGAGGCACAGGCTATGCTTCTTAAACTTTTCAGTAAAAAAGAGAGAGAGAGAGAGAGAGAGAGAGAGAGAGAGAGAGAGAGATGTCTGTGATCTGACTATCCTGGAAACAGGATTCAGAGAAACTAGGTTCCTAGCTTTGACTTACCTCTCTCAAGAGAGAGTAAAGAGAAACAGAGAAGAGAAAGAGATTAGAAGATGGAAAAAGGATGTGAATGAAAATATGAGATCATAAAGACACAATGGGAGGAATGGTCTTCCTAGAGTTTCAGCATCTGAAAACAGATGCCCTTGGTCCAGAATGTAGGGAGCACCAGAAGACATCATGTCACAGCCCCAGATCTCCAATATACTTTTCATTTCTCCAAGATAAAGACTATTTTCCAAGTGAAGCTGTTTTTTTGTACTTTGTTTCCAGAATGTCAAGCACATGTTTCAAGATCTAACCATCATCTGAATATTTACAAACCTGAGAGAAGACATTATTCCCAATAAGTTTAAATGTCTTCTACTATCAGCATGTGACTATGCAGTACAAAGTGTTTTCCACTTTTGCCCCACATTAAGCTTCTAACTTTGTTAGAAGCAAATTAATTGGCCAAGTTAAATTTGTTTAAATCAGTTACATAGGTATCCTTTTATACATTAGATGTACTCTATTCAGTTTTCACTATCAATTTTTTTTCAGTAAATGTCAAACTGTAAACTGGTCCAGGTCCTTTCAAAAATAGGCAAGGTAAATTATGCTTTAAATATATATTTTTTAAGTTTAGTAAAATGATAATAGATGGTCATTACACAAAAAATCATACAATAAAGTTTAAAAGTAAACCTCTTAGTTGGGCCATCTACAGATATGTACTATTAACATATTAGTATGCAAATTTTAGATGTTTTTATATTTATGCCTATATTTATAATAATGTAGTATTTTACAGCCATAAGGGACCAAGGAATTTAAATTATAGTTTAACTCAGTAAATCTGAAAAACATTGATTTGGGGTGGAGTGGGTAGGAAGCAAGTAATAGGCAATGATAATTAAAGAAATCAAGTATGCAGTATGCACAATATCATATTTACGCATGGACTTAATTCATACATGCTATAGTTCCAAAAGTAAGAAGCAATAACATAATAATAATTTAAACCAACTGAGCCTATTTCAGTAAATTTTTTTATTTTGTTAATTTTCTTGAATGAAATAATATTAAATAAGGCTTCCAACATCAGAAAAGATATTCTCTATTAATATATCTTCTTTCTTGTCTGTGTAAAATATAAGGTTATATGTGTGTATATGTACCTGTGTGTGTGTGTATATAAATAAAACAACTACATATTATATATAGATTTACTTGCATTCTTACCAAATTGTCACACAAAAAGAGGCTAAAGAACTAAGTGTAAAAGTACAGAAGACCATTTTCCCAGTACGTTCTACTCCTTTGCTTATTTTTAACTACTGCAAAACCTGATTTTTCTCAAGGTATTTCTAGTTATAATTGCAGTAATTTAAAGCTGATTAATTTGAAGGTAATTATTGTCAGTATATTTCAATTATTTTTTTGAAAATTCACTATTTTAGCTTAAAATATATACAACCATCATTTTATATATATGTATATATGTGTGTGT